TTAAATTTACAATGTGAAACTTGTGTCTTTGAGTGCATTTTGCATTAATTATGATTCTATTACAAATTCACATAATTAATATAATTACCTTTTAATTAGATTATGTCTGCATCTGTATATCTATCTATCTATTTAAGAGCTGCGCTCTTGTCGGTGGAGCTCTTGCCGCTCACTACGATTTTCAGCGAGTCTCTTCACCTCTTGATACGACACGACACTAACTCCTTCCTTGATCTGCCTGATGTAACTACGTCTCGGTCTCCCTCTCCTCTGTCTGCATATAGAACATATTTTCGCTATGTAGTCCCAGTGTAGAATAGGCCTTGCCTTTCGCGTGGGTGTCGTAGGCGACTAAGGGAGAGCGAGAGATGGAAAGGAGCGTCTTTTTTAATATTTCCAAAGCGTAACTGTGGTTGCAAATCCACTTGCCAAGCATGGCAACTGACAAAAGCCCTCGAGGAGTAGGCTTCTGTTTAGCAGTGGATAGTTAAATACTGATATGACGATGATGGCGATAAAAGATATTTAAGAAAAAAAATTACTTAAATATAGTTGCAAAAAAAAAACAATCAGACGAATTGGGAACTATCTTCCTTTTTGAAGTTATTTTAATATATACATTTTCCATCAGTAATATCTCAAGTTAAAAGTCGAAAGCGAAAAGTTGAAAAGGTCGTAAACGACCCTAACTTTGGCCGTATCCCTTTTACTCCTAGTGGAATTGTATTCGATAGCATAACCCAGGTATAAGTGTTGCCATATTGTATATTTTTCTGCAATTTTTGGTAAAAATTGTTATGTTCGTGAAACTATATAGTTGAAGAAATTTTTTGAGAAAAATTTAATGAACGTCGAGAAATTTGGGTAAATGTTTTATCAGTTTTGACATTTGTAAAACATTGTATATATTGGTATATATATAAGTTAAATAAAATATGCTAATTAAAATTCTAATAAGGTGAAGAAGTCGGTCGTAGAGGCCTGTTTTTTCGTCATTCACTGTGTGGCTACATGAAAAAATGTAGTGGAAACTGAAAACAAATGACTGTGGAATAGTAACCCCGCCTGTATTAATGGTATACGTTGGTGAGGCCCTAGTAAAGGAGGATAGATAAGAATAAAAGCAGGTTAGTTTTATTTTTAATGGGTGATAATGGAATGGTAACCCCACCCGCGCTATCGGTATACACCGGCGGGGCACCAGTGAGAGATGATAGATGAACCAGGTCTGTTAGCTCATCGTGACGAATTCAACGAGAATTGTTCACGATTATTTCCAGGGGGAACCACGTGGAGGTCGACCTGATAGGGCATATTGCTAGCAACGTCGAACTCCATTGCTAACAATCCCTTCCCCCCAAAGCAGGTTAGTTAGTTAATCACGATGAATTTTGTAATTCGACTCCATAGTTTCTAGGAGGGATAACGTAACGGTCGAGCTAACAGGGTATATTGCTAACATTTAGTTTCCATTACAAGCAATCCCTTTCCCCCCAGCCGACACAAGTTTTTAGTTGGGTAAAAATGAACAAAATCATATCAATTTGGAGAAACATAATTGACATTTGGATAAAAATTAAATAAAGCATCTGGCAACACTGCCTAGGCATCGATATCACAAATCGTCATAGTCGTAGAATACTGACGGATCTGTATATGTAATCTTTGCCAGATCCGTCAGTATTCTACGATTATGACGAAATGTTGGCTGCGGGTGGTTTCATGGTGTTGACGCTTTTAAGCGGCCAATTTCGGTTGCGCTTGATGGAAGCGAAGCCACATATTACGTTCAATTGCTTTTGAAGTATGGAACCGAATTATTGTACAGAAATAATAGTTAACGTTTTAGTTGTAAACTATTTCACTACAATAGTTTGGTTTCGTATCGTACAGTCGGCAAAACACGATGGAATAGGCATCCTGTTTATTTAAATATTAACTTTTACTCGTGACTTTGTCCACATTTTCACCATGTCCACATTTAACCAGAGGAAGACTCTGTACAAAAGTCGATTGCTTGGGTACCTCTGTCCCATTCGTATTTCAACCGTGAAGCAGTTGTGTTTGCATGGCTTATATTAATAAATTGTTTAGAGTTATAATTCTTATCCTGTGGTTGAACTCAATAATAAATAGATAAATTAATAACCATCGTGACAGTTTATTGAAAAACTGTACTCAAATGGTAATGAATACATTTCAATTATTAATTTCATTTTGCCTACACCAAAACAGAACGCTTTAAATTACTAATCGTGATTAAAATTCGCTTTTATTATTTTCCATAGTATTGTTTTGTACTTTTTGTGGACAAATTCAACAAAGAAGATTTATTAAATAATTTTGTGTGGGTATTTTGTGCCATTATGTATAATACCATTGGTAGTTAGGTCTTCTCTAATTGTATAATTGTTAGTTAGTGTACATTGACGCTTATCTGTGAGAGCTGTATACACCTTTAATTGATGTGTTCATATGGCCTTAAGCTTGGTAGTGAGGAGTTAGATTTTTTGTTCAAACTTAGATTTAAGCAATTTTCAATAGTAGTTTTTCTCTTTTACTTACTAATAACATTGTATATTTTCTGCTTAATTATTGTGAGCATATTGTTGGTGTGTCTTTTATAAATAAATAAATAAGTACCAATAGATTTGAGGGGAATAATCAAATATAGTGTTGACTGGTAGAGACATTTATTGTTAATAATGGAGACTAAGGGCCCCATTGTTAGCAATATACCCACCCAGGTCGACCTCCACGTGGTCCCCCCTGGAAATCATCGTGCTGAATTCCAAGTGTAATCATCACGATATGCTAACTGACCTGTCTTTTCATCCTCACCTGTCATCCCTCACTGGTGCCCCGCTAGTTTATACCGTTAGCGCAGGCGGGGTTACCATTCCATCATCACCCATTGAAAAAAAATATACCTACATATATAGATAAATAAATATAGTTATGTTCATAGAGATAGAAGACGCTCTTTAAGTCTACTCTTAAAAATATTGTGTCAAAACGTGTACCTACATTTATTAATAACCAGAACTTTAAAAATAATAAAGTGTTAAAATTGTTATTGTACCAAATTTTGCAATAAATTGTTCTTGTCGTATATATGAAACATTAATTTATATTTTAATTAATTTTATAATTATTCATTATCATGAGAATTGTATAAAAAGTAACGATATTGTTATTAATAAACGTTTTTATGGTAACAAAATTCATGCTGCACCTCCTTCAGGGATGATAGGTGGGGATGAAGCTAACTCATGTGACAAAATCATCAAAATTTAGCAACGATGGGTTCCGGATAAGGTAACACAGTAGTAGTCTTGAGGTATGTTATTAGCAATGGGGTCGCTCATCCCAGTTATTAATAATCTCTTCCCCCCTCCCCCCACAAAGAGGTGTTACTTCTCTTAAGTTGATTAATGTTCAATCCAACTATACTTTCAAATCAAATCACTACAACACACGCATTGGTGTTATACGACTGTAATGAAGATTAATTTTGTTAATGTTATAAGCTCACGCCTCTTTCTTTATGGGGTAGACAGAATCCATATATTTTTTTCTTACTTAGAATGGCAAACAAGCTGACGGCCCACCAGATGGAAAGTGGTAACCGTCGCCTATAGACATGAGCAGTATCATGGATATAACAGAGTATATAGTATATTGTTTCGCCCATGATACTCCCCATGCGTTGCCATTTCTGAGGACTCAGATGTTATTCCTCTGCACCCTATAAATTTACTGGCATATCCCACCCTTCAAACCGAAACACAGCCATGCAAACACAGCTGCTTCACGGTTAAAACACGAATGAGACAGAGGTATCAAAGCAATCGACTTTTGTACAAAGTCTCCCTCTGGTAAGCCATATATTGCTACTTGTTTCCACCCTGACATATCTCCTTATCTCCCTTCACTTTCAAATAATTATCTGTTTCGACTGCCCTGTTTCTTCTCCCTTGTACATCCTCTCATGTAATTTAAAATACAGAGAATGAGTGATAGGCGACTATCACTCATTGTCTCTATTTTAAATCACCACAAAATCCAATTATAGTCGCAAAATCAACTTCGAAATTAATTTCATTATTCATGTTAACTTCATTAACATTTTTTAATTTACAGCAGATAAATAATTTACTATGTACTTACAGCCTCTCGAAAACCATGTTGCTGATAATTTGGTCGCATCTATTAATAAATTAACTGTCCGTGGCATGGAATTAAGTTAAAAATAAATTTTGTTTTAGTACAGCCGCCACTCCACGAGGGCCCGGGCCGGCGCCTCGCACACCACTATGGTGCTCCATTCCCCTCCGTTGCGGCGTTAACACCGGCCAATTCATTCTTATTTCGCTTTAATTTTCACCTATGATTTATCTTGAATAACCTCGAAAAGCCATTAAAAATCGTTCTCGCCTTATTACGGACCCTCCAGCGGCCCACTTTCATTTAACTCATATTTTCTGTAATCGAGCCACAAAACCGTTGCCTTGCTTTAATATTTTCTTACCTTATTATTTTTCCATTCTTGCGGCTGAAACAATTTTCCTCGCGCCCACCGCTCAAATTGTAATTTTAAAGTTTCCGACGCACATTTTCTGTGTGAATTATTCAATTGTATGGAAATGTGCAACGTCAAAAGGTGTGACAAGGTGCCCTGTGACAATTGAAGGGTACACTGGAATCGATGAATAGCAAATGTCATGAAAATGTAAAAGGTGATGCAGCTAAGCGATGCAAATGGGTGCAGCAGGGGCGCGCCTTCCGTCGTAGCAGGCTGTCGAGCGAAATGGTGATCGTGGTATGTGTTGATTGCAGGAGGCTGGTACTGGCGGACCGCCGCTGCCTCACCGGCGCCGTATCGCGTCGTAGCGCGTCGTGCCGCGTCGTGCCGCGCCGTATCGCGCCGTATCGCATCGCGTTCGCCGCCGCTGCTGGCCGTCCCACGCGCGTGGCGCATGCGCGAAGCAACAGATTGGCGGGGAACGCTGGCTTCGGAGCCGGCGACCACCCGCCATCCTCTCACTGCGATTCGCGCACCGCACGGCCGCCGCGGCGCACGTGTACCGCGGCCCTTTAAAGTTATAGTGCCGAGTTCGCGCGCGAACGCTTGGACTCAGGTAAGAACTGTCACTCTTATCGACGATTGTTGTTTCTTTTAATATTATTATTAATTTTTCACGCAGTTATTTTAAGCATAGTATATAGACTTTTTTTTTTTATAAATACGAAGAATGCTTGTGTTTATTGAAAAATAAAATTTTCAGTTGCGAAACTTCTTCGGTCATGAATCGGCGATGTCGTTCTGTTTTGAGCAATTTTCACGGTTAATTTAACAGAAAAACGTCAGATCTGTTAAGGCCGCGGCGTGAATTTTAAATTGTACAATTGCTCGTGTATTCATACGTGTAGGCATGTTTCGGTATTTAAAACGTTCGCTGGGCGAATTTTCCGCGCGAAGCCGCCGAGTGTTATTTAAGCCAGAACGCTTTGTAAGATTAGATTTCAGATACGAATTTGCTCCTCACAAAATGTTATTTAATTTCCTCATTTTCGAAGTTATCTACGCAATTTATATTACATATTAGTGAGCGTATTTACAATTCACAAATTGGAAGTAGGTATGGGCTTTTTCGTAACATTTACACGGGTTGTTTTTTTGGTGGATAATTTTAATGAATAGACATATAACTACAGTCGAGAAAATGTAGTAACAATTGTGTCTTTTATTATATACACGTGCATATGAAACGAATATTAAAAACAATAAATAAAAATAATAAATATCCCGGGAGACACAAAGCTTTTTAAGTTTACTTTTTACGACAAACAAATAAACAGCACACTTAGTGGATACTGGTAAATAATCATAAATATATTAAATACTATAATTATAGTTTTGGTACGTCGTGTCATATCACAAAATTAATCACAGAGAGACTACAAAAGTCGTTTGAGTGGGTACCACTGTCCCACTAGTGTTTCGGCTGCCTGCAGCTGTGTTTACATAAAGTGACATATGGATAAATGGTAGGGTACGCAGTCGTGGTATGTTAATCCTCAGTAACAGCGACGCATCGGGAGTATTATGAGCGTCACAGTGTATTCTATATATATTGAGAGTGTTGTTCATGTACATCCATCAGGCGGGCCGTCAGCTTGCAATAGGCAAGTTGCATAAAAAAATAATTGCACTAGATATCTTATCCTACAGTCATAATTACGCATATTTTTCCATATCATGGTAGAAAAAAGAGATTAGTGGTATCTATCGATAATGCCAAGTAAAATTCAATCTAATATGTATAAACTTTATAGTTGGAAACCATTTGTCTTTAGTATCCTGCTCATGTCAAACATCGTTTATTGTAATGTCTGTCCCATAGAAAAAAAAACGTATTAACATAATTACGTTTGCAAATAAGTTATTAACTACACTTATTAACGAGAATAATTATAAATTCAATTGGAGTTTTTGTTCTGAGATATTTGCTGAGTTATTATCCTAATTATGGGACTCCTTAACATGATATGGTTTTTTTTTTGATGAGTGAAAATGGTATGGTATCCCCGCCTGCGCTAACGGGATACGCTGGCGGATCACCAGTGAAGGGTGATAGATGAGAATGAAAACAGGCCAGCTAGCCCATCATGATGAATTCATCAGGAATTAGTCATGATAGTTTCCAGGGGGAACCGCGTGGAAGTCGACCTGGTTGGGTATATTGCTAGCAATGGGATTTTCAGTCTCCATTACTAACAATCCCTTTCCCCCCAACATGATATGGTTGGATGCAGTCACATACAGTTACGGATAGTGTCTGATGCTTCTCTTAGATATTTAGTTTTGGTCAGAATATAAATAAATGTGGTCACGTCCCAAGAGGGGTAGGCAGAGGCGTCTGTCGACTGTTATCCTTGTGGTAAACAATTTTCTTTATCTAATTTAGACAAACAAGCTGACGGTCCACGTAATGGAAAGTGGTAAACGTCGTCTATAGATATAAATTTGTATTTTTCGGTATGGACTAGCTGTTGTCCACGACTTCGTCCGTATGGAGTTCAGTTATATTGCAAACCCCATTTTATAACTTGCGTACCTTCAAAGGTGTAAGTTAAAAAAAAAATCATAATTGCAGATTTCCATTCAAAGATCCATTCTTTATTTCACTCCTTCAGAGGTGTGATACAGAGGTCAATTTTGTAAATGTTTCAACGCGTACTTGCTATTTTACATACAATTTTATATCAAAATAAAATCACCGCTATCAATCTTTGGGGTAGAATTTTCAAAAACTGATAAAAATCTTTTGTTTTTAATCAAAAGCCTAAAAACAAACTTTTAATACTTCTAATTAAAAAAAAAATAACAAAATTCTGTACATACAAATTGTCATCCCCATTTTATCCACGAAGAGCTGAAATTTTCAAAAAACTCTGAAAAGTATTTATTTTTAATGAAAAGTGTAAAATTAAAGTTCATACCTCTAGCTACAATTATAATAGAACACCCATACAAATTTCCATGCCCTATTTCATGCCTTTAGGAGTAAATGTTTCAAAAGCCAATAAACATATTAATTTTTGTTTTGAACCAAAAGTCTAAATCGAAAACGTCTCTAGTCTAGCTTCTAAACTGATAAAATTAAATACAAACTTTCAACACCAATTTTACGTCCTTAAGGTTAAAATTTTCAATATTTCTTTTTTATTATTATTGTAAACAACCTATCTGCAAAATTCCAAGATTCCAAATTTAGCGGTTTTAATATAAGAAGCAATCTGTCAATCACCCAGCACCCTCTTTTATAAAATACTAATAAATAAATGCCAGAAACATCCCCACCTATTGTCTAGTTTTCAATGTAAAATACACTATCTAGGCATCTGTTTAAGTCCCAGAATGGCATATCTTTACGTTGGAATAAATTGTCAGAATCGAATGTTGAACTTATGCTAATTTCACAGCACGAGGAAATATATCTATTTCTTGGTGTACTGAAAATTTGCATAACAAGTAGTCGGAGACGAACATAGAACACCTATACCCCCTAGTCATGCGATTTAGAATGACTTACTACCTAAATAGAAGGCAGTCACAGAATAATTAGTTTCTTTATTGTATACTGTATATTTATCAAAGGGAGACTTTGTACAAAAGTCGTGTGCTTGGGCATCTCTGTCCCATTCGTGTTTCTATCGTAAAGCAGTTATGTTTGCATGCACGTGTTTTAGTTTGAAGGGTGAGATACGGCAGTGAATTTACATAGTACATAGGAATAACACCTGAGTCCTCAGGAATGGCAACGCATGAGAGGTATCATGGGCGAAACAGTATACTGTTATGGCTTTGTACTGCTCATGTGTATAGATGACGGTTACAACTTTCCATCGGGTGGGCCGTCAGCTTGTTTGCCATTCTAAGTTGCATAAAAAAGAAAATTCTTTCAGTAATATGATAAAGAGTAAATTAATAAATATAATACAACATTTGTTGGACTTGAGACAGAGAGATAAATCAAATTGATTCTATACCAAGTACAATATTGTTTGTAAAGTATAAAAAACTGTATAAGTAGGTAGATATTATATTTATTTATAGTACATGTATTTATGTAATATTTTATTATGTATCTTAATATTTTATTTAACTGTATATTTGTTTATGTATACTAAATATTAATAGTTGTAGCACTTCAGCTGCCCGCTAACAATATGCTTTCTAACTGCATTGGGTTGACTGGAAGAGATCTCTGTCAGAGACAAGTCCACCCTTGCTCACAATATTTATAAATGCATTAACATTGTAATTTACAAGTGCAATAAAGAATATATATATATATATATATATATATATATATATATATATATATATATATATATATATATATAAATGCTTCTTAGATAATGAAATATGACAAATTCATTCGAACAATTATTTTGAAATGAGCCCCTTATGGACACTTTTACAATCACATTTCAATACAACGTAGAGATGATAAATTAATGATTCATAATCATCATCATGTCAGCCGTTAACTGTCCACTGCTGAATATTAGCCTTCCACTATGGGGGGGGGGGGGGTTATTTATAGTTGCCACGCTTGACAGACGGGTTGGCAACCGCAGGCTTTAGTGATGTTTTAAGAGGGACGCTGCTGCCTTTCCGTCGACCATTAAGTTTCCTTATTCACCTTTGACGACACCCACGGGAAAGAATGGGGTAGCATTATGTTATCTATGCCGAGCCCACACGGCTAAATTAATATCTAATAATTAATACATTAATATAATTAAATATTAATATATTATTCAATAACAAACATTTGACCTACGATTTGGTCTCGTCATATTAACTAATCGTCCTCTAGCCAACACTAGGTACAGAGATGAAACCCAAATTGATGGAGGGGAAAGGGATTGTTAGTAATGAAGACTGAGAATCCCATTGCTAGCAATATACCCAACCAGGTCGACCTCCTCGCGGTTTCCCCTGGAAACTATCATGGTTAATTTCTCATGAATTCATCATGATGGGCTAACTGGCATGTTTTCATTCTCATCTATCACCCTTCACTGGTACTCCGCCAGCGTATCCCGTTAGCGCAGGCGGGGTTACCAAACCATTTTCACCCATTGAAAAAAAAAAACCAAATTGATGCTGTAAATTTTTATACATACGGAACTAAGTACAAAAACCATATTGGGAAATAATTTTGGAGACGTAATACGCGAGTTAAAGTTTCTATGGAATCCGTCAACTTCGAATTTGGAAATTGAAAATCAATTAAAGTTTTCAAACTTTCTGATTTACTGAAGATGATATAGCCTCTTGCACACGTACCCACTTGACTAGTAACTGTAGAACGTCGGCCTGACCGGATTAATTTATTTGGTAGACCAACAGCTTGTCATACACCGTCCCCGCCGGCGGGGATGAAGACCCACCGCGTAACACAGTCCGCGCGCGATCAGGTTTGCGCCCGAGCGCATCCTACGACTCCGAGTTCCTACCCATCACGTACCGACTCTTCGCCGTTACTAGACGGGGGTCGAAGTGCGGTGCCCTAAGCCGGGGTCCGAGCCACTCTGGCGCCCTTAGGCGCACACCGCAGTCCATAAGTAAGAGCTGACGCCTATCGTCGCTCCCCTCTCGCGGGCTTGGAGTACCGTCTGCACTCGCCCCTGCATACGCGTACGATGAAGCTGTAAAGGCCACCCACGTCCAACAGCAAACATAGACAGGAAAAAAAGTATAGTAAATATAAATTATAATAAGAAAAATAGCCAATACTAGGTCTCCAC